TTTTTGGGGTTCCCTGGGTGCTTCCGGCTCTGACTCCACTCCCCCCGACGCCCCCAGACCCAAATTCCTTCGACTCCCCCGAGGATGTGGCTGAAGCTTTTCTCGCATCCCTGACCCAGACCGTGGAGGCGGCCGAGGCCAATCGGAGCCACGGTGCGGATTTTGGGGTTTTCTTTGGGTTTTTGGGGTGGTTTTCTTTGTTTTTCTGTGGTTTTGGGGGTGTTTTTTGCGGTTTATTTTGGGTTTTTTTGGGGCGGATTTCTTTTTTAATTTTCGGGGTATTTTTGGGGGGATTTTTGGAGTTCCTAATGGGGGTCCCCGTTTTGTTTTTGGGGTTTTCGGCGCCCCCAGACCCCACTGTGAAGCGGCGGATCCGGCTGGAGGCGGGCGGGGCTCTGAACGTTTTTTTGGTGCTCGACGCTTCCCGCAGCGTCAGCGACCGCGACTACGAAGAGGCGCGGGACGCGCTGGTGGAGCTGGTGGAGAAGGTGCGGCCCCGAAATCACCCCAATTCCACCCAAAAAATCACCCAAAAATCAGCAAAATGTACCCCAAAAACATCCCCAAAAATCAGCGAAATCCGTCCCAAAAATGACCCCGAAAACACCCGAAACTGCCCCAAAAATCGCCCCAAAATCACCCGGATCCGACCCAAAAATCCGCCCCAAAATCAGCGGGATCTGCCCCGAAAAACCCGAAATAACGAAATTCGCCCCGAAAAATCGGGAATCTTCCCCAAAACTCAGCGGGAAAGGATCGGGGACCGCGGGAAATCCCGAAAATCCGAAATCCGTCCCGAAAAACCGCGGGATTCGCCCCACAGATCATTTTCTGCCCCATAGATCCCCCCTGACCCCATTTGCTGCCCCCCGCCCCACAGATCGCGAGTTATGGGGCCGCCCCATGGATTCCCAGCCCCATAGATCCCATAACCCAAATAAACTCCCCCCGCCCCACAGATCGCGAGTTATGGGGCCGCCCCCCGCCCCGAATACCCCATAGATCCCATAACCCCATTTATGGCCCCACAGATCGCGAGCTATGGGGCCGCTCCCCGGATTCCCAGCCCCATAGATCCCCATGACCCCTTTTCTGCCCCACAGATCTCCAGCTATGGGGCCGCCCCACAGATCCCCCATTCCCTGACCCCATAAATCCTTTCCCCGCCCCACAGATCGCCAGCTATGGGGCCGCCCCATTCAGATCCCCCATTCCCTGACCCCATAACCCATTTCCCGCCCCATAGATCCCATAACCCCATTTATGGCCCCCCAGATCGCCAGTTATGGGGCCGCCCCATGGATTCTCAGCCCCATAGATCCCATAAATCCTTTCCCCGTCCCACAGATCGCCAGTTATGGGGCCGCGCCCCGCTATGGGGTGGTCACGTTCGGTTCGGAGGCGCGGAAAGTTCTGAGCCCAACGGAGCCGCGAGCGGCGGAGGCAGCGACGGTGAAAGAGAAACTGCGGGGGCTGCGGCTGCAGGGTG